TGAGGCTGCAGAGAGGACAAGGAGACAATAGTTACTTGCATGCTCTTCTCTGGTCACCGTTCCTGAACTAACTCTTGCTCTCAGGTACGTGCTGATATCAAAGACCTCAAAAGCAGGAGCAGATTAATCTTGATTCAATGCTGCCATCATGGACAGGTATGAACAAACGCTGCTCTCTTACTCAGCTATCCCTTCCTGCCTGTGCCACACTCCTACTGCAGCCACATCTCCATTAGTGGTTTAGGCACCTGGGGACCGTTGGCTGGCACTGCTGCCAGCTAGCGTGGTACGGCATGCATTTACACCACGCTCCTAGCTTCCAAAATAGGGTGCTGTTTCTACGCTGCCGCTGGGAACGGTTCTGGGCCTATGCTGGACTGCTGACCCATACTTGGGAATTTTCTGGGGGGTGGTAACCAAGTTTGACAAAGAAACAATACAGAAGCGTATATTTAATACTATGCTTTATTCACTAAATGATGAACCTGACAGAGAGAATTAGGCAAAGTGTAAAGAAGCACCATACAGTTGGTTTTTGCTGACACTATCAACCTTTGAAGCACATAAATTACAAATTTGCAAGAAGTCTGTAGTGGAAGCGCATCCTCTAGAAGAGACTGCCAGCAATTGCCAGGCAGAGAAACCGTAACAAAACTCCAACTGTGAGGGAAAAAAAAAGTAGCAGCTTTGGGGGGGTTTCCTCAAGAGACTTACCTAGAGATTTTTGTCCTGAGATTCCCCATCTTGAGGTGCTGTCTTAGTACAGCCATGGCTTTAAACTGATAAATACAATATTGATAACAGCGTGGGTTCTGTGAACAGATCTTCAGATTAATTGTACTGACATCTGCTGCAGGGGTGTAAAGTGATGCCCAGCATCACATGTGGGTCTACGCTAGAGGCGAGAACCTGATCTTTGCACCCAAATCCCATTTCTCATCTGCTACGCCATCCTTCTGTCTGTTCACATCCACTTTCAGGTTTGGTATTTTCACCTGAAATGTAGATAGCAAAGCTGAAGCAGTTACTTTTCATGGCAACAGGGTAGGAAAATCATAGTTTATTTCATCTCTAACTGAGTATTAGCCATGTACACTCAATTTCCAAAATTAATGCTATTGCTTAAGCCATGGGGTGAGTTGTGACATAAACCGTTCATCTATTTTTTATACCAAGTTATTACTAAGTAAGTTTGATACTGGCAAACTGTATGTCAAAGTAATTGAGCGTTGCTATCCCATACTTTGGGTATCTTTCCTGTGCCACACAGCACTGAAAATAAAAACCTGGGTTACTGTTAAATAATGAAATCAGCCTAGAAACTTCAGTGGTTAATCTTTAAATGTTTACTATTACCTTAAATATGACCCAGAAAAATCTATAATTTTCTCAGTGTTTTAAAGTGTCTCACCCTTGTATTTGGGTAAAACACCCCAATAATTCCAAGAGAGCAGTTTGAATAGATGGCTACTATAGAAACTCTGAGGCTACCCACATGGTATCATCAAATCAGCAAACTGAAAAAGAAAGACAGTCTCTGCCTTGGGTGGCAATTTTCAGAGACGTACGTCTTTAAGCTGGGTAGTGCCAGCTTAATAGCAATGGGAGATTTTCTCTCTAATTGGGTATGGCTGGAAACTCCCTCAAGCTCCATCCAAAGTTTAAACACTGGTGAAGGACCTGCCTGTGTGGGCGGAGGCTGAGTTAAGCTCAGAAGGTAAGTACTAACTTACAAATTCCTTTCTCTTAAAGCGTTTGAGCGATTATTTATAGTGAAGTTATTTCCAAATTTATTAGGGCATCTGCTGGGGTAATGTAAATTCTCTGCTCCCTTTAGTTCATGTGCCAGGTAGACTAAGCGTGGCTCGATAGTTACTCACCAGCGGGAAGCTGCAGGAGAGAAAAAGCAAGAGAAAGACTTTTTTTAACCAGGAAATGAATCCTGCGGTGCAGTTCAGAGCTGAGCAGGGCAGCCGTGAAACCGCTGAGCGGACAAAGCGTGGGAAGGCAAAGGCGGGTGGGAGAGCACAGTGCAAGCCTCCGGCACCGTGGCGGTTTCTCCTGGGTTTGAGCAGGAAAGCTGGCCCATTTGGTATGCTGGACTCTGCTCCCAGCTCCAGGGCTAAAGGGCACTTCACGCTGAGTGCGGATAATGCTGTTTGTGAAAGACCATCCCCTCTTAAACGGTTCTTACATTGCTGAGAAGCACCCTCAGAAAAATTCAGGACAGGCATGTCATTAAGGCTCACTAGGAAATAGGATGGAATATGGAGTTTAGACAAAAGCAGTAAAAACATTTGCATATAGACAAATTTTGTGTTGAAATCTTTGCTAAATATTAATTAAGGCTAAAGGCAGTGCATCCAAGACACAGTTACTTATTTGGCTGCAGCATAAATTCCTGGCATGAACCAATTCTTCGGCAGTGTCTGGGCTAGTGCAGCAGTCCCAAAATGCCCTGGATGGTGATGCATTTTTGCTATGGGAATCAGGTAAAATTGCTCAGGTAAAACAGGTAGGTTTTCCATATCTGCTCTCCATGTTCCCTGGGAGTCTTTGGTCACTTTTACCTTTTGCAAGAGCCAATTTCTTCAGC